TATACAGGAAGCAGACCACATACCCAAAGGCAGCTACTCAGCTGCTCACAGTAGATTCCACCATGGAGTTGATTACCAGTCTTATCATGGGGAATACTACATCCAGTTGCCCAGCCACTCAACCAGGCCCAGCCAAGTTGACACACAAACTTAATCACCACATCAGCCATTGAAAACCCTGTGGAGCACAGTTCTACTCTGATACACATGAGGTCACCGTAAGTCAGAATTGACTTGACAACAACTGGCTTTTTATGCCAAAGGTAGCTAGCTGTCTGTCTTATTTTCAACCAACAGATCCGGAGACATGCCTTCCAGAGGCCAAGAAAAGGCTCCATCCTGGCTTTTGGATTGATTTTAAAAGCAATAATCATGTTTTCACAACAAGGAGTCCCAAGCTGACTATCTCTAAGAAAGGAAACATAGAAGTGACCTTTACTCCTGCCAGACCACCATGTGCTCTGTAAGCAAAGAGACAGGCACTCACTGCTAACCTTTCTTGGAGAAGGGGCTGATCCAGAATCGGGCTGGGTGACCTGGAATGCTGGGAGATGGCAAATGAAGTTTTCCGGTGGAAATCGGCATCCCCTTGGTTACTGTAACTGGCCGAGGGCTTTCCAAACTTACTTGAATCTAAAGGTGATGGTGTGTCATTTCTGAAAACAATCCGCTCATCTGGCTCTTTGATAACCTGAGTGACAACGTACATCATTCTTTAGTTGCAGTTTTGTTTTGTTTGCTTAATTTAAAGTCAGGAGTGGGGCAGAACAAGGAAGAGATTAGGGGAAAGATGACAGACTACCCCAGGGAGCACCTGCAAATCAAAGAAGGGCATAGAGAACACCAGAGACAATACATTTGGGAGTCAAAGTTAAGAAAAAATGAGCAACATTACACAACAAAATTCTGTATGTTTGGCATGTATTAACAAGCCAAAGAGACTCATACTCTGAACTTTGATTTTTGAAGGTTGGGGATTATTTGGTTTGGGAAAGATATCTTTTTTTTCTTTAGCAAAAACACTTAAAAGTTATGGCATAAGAAGCATAGTATACTCAATTTTCTTTGCACACATATAATCTTGTGTTCTTGTCAAACCAATCAAACTTTAAGAATAAGTGATTTACTAACTCTATGTTAACAGATATTTGATTATAGAAAAAGCAAGGGAAATCACTACTGCTAAAGTATGCGGTCTACCACCCATCTCTCTATTTGTTGTGCTGTGGAGGCTTGCATGTGACTGTGATGCTGGAGGCTATGCCACCAGTGTTTTAAATATCAATAGGATCACCCATATTGGACAGGTGTCAGTGGAACTTTCAGACTAACACAGACTAAGAAGAAAAGTCTAGCAATCTACTTTTGAAAATTAGCCCATAAAAACCTTATGGATCACAACAGAAGACTATCCAACTAGCTTGCTTTGCACGTGTCATTAGGAGGGATCTAGAGGAGGACATTGTCTCTGGTAGCATAGTGGCTAAAGCACTTGACTGCTAACCAGAAGGCTGGCGGTTCAAACCCACCAGCCACTCCTCGGAAGGAAGGTTGGGCAATCCTACTTCCATAGTGATACTGCCTCGGAAACCCAAGAAGGGGTCGCTGTGAGTCGGGGCCGACTCGACGGCACATAACAACAACAACAACAATAAGAGGAGGACATTGTGTTTAGTGATGGAGAGGACCAGCAAAGGTGAGGGACCTTCTCAGTGAGATGGATTGGCACAACAGCTGCAATGATGGAATCAAACATACTGACGGTTGTGAGGATGATGTAGGACTATACAACATTCCATTCTGTTGTACGTAATGTTGCCATGAGTCAAAGTTGACTCAACAGCAACTATCAACAACAAAGTCAGTATTAGGCCCACATACACAAAGAGTTTCTGTCTGGGGAACAGATCAACTAACCCGAAAGTATAGAGTGGAGCCCAGACACCTCTCTACTTAAACACTAGTTAAACTATAAGCCCACTGCCACTGAGATTCTGACTCATAGCAACCTCCATTGTGTTTCCAAGGTAGTAAAGCTTTACGGAAGTAGATTGCCCCATCTTCCTTCCACGGACCAGCTGGTAGACATGAACTGCCAATCTTCAGGTTAGCAGTCAAATGCCTTAGGCATTGTACCACCAGAGCTCCTTAGTTACACTATAGCAGTTCCTTAAGCAGCACTAACTAGGAATGTATCTTTCCACCAACTGATTGGAGAAAGCATGATAACTGACATAAGAGAGCTGGAAACAAATTGTTCTACAAATGCTACTTCTAAATTTACCTTGACGTTAGCTGCAAGACTGTCAAGAGAAGAAGCTAGAAGAAAGAGGAACAGGTATTTCAATGACTCATTATTACCAGTTGCTCCTAAAACTGCTGTTACATTTATTCCACAGCAGCACAAACATATTAGCTGATGAATGAATGATTACAGAACTTAAGTGTTCCCTTCTAAGTTATACTATCACTTTTACATCTTCCTTGAGACAGCAATTCGATCTACAGGCTTTCCTGTCTCTCTGGGATCAACAATGAGCATTATATTAATGACATAGGCAAAGAGGAAGGGTAAAGGTGAGTCTAAAGTGAAATAACAAGTTCTGTCACCCTTACACGGTCAGGGAAACTAATATTTGCCCAGGTGTCCTGAGCCTGGAAGAAAGCATTGTGGGTCTAAGAAAATTCATATACTCTGCCTCTTCTGCCATTCTCTTGATATTTGCTTTACTTGGAATCCTATTTATATCAGAACTCTTGAGTGTTCTTGTCCACAGTAGACACAAATGTTGAACTGAGACAACTTAATGCATAAGAGCTTGGAGAACATAATGCAGCAAGAACATAAATTCTTAAGGTTACCTTAGATAATCATAATTATAAAGTAGAACTAATCCCAAAGAATGGTAGAGATAACTGGAAAGTACCCAAAACACGATAAAAAGTTAAAAAAGAAGAGAAACCTTAAGGGGCAGTTCTACTCTGTTCTATGGTATCACTATGAGTAGAAATCAGCCTGATGCCAATGGACTATGATAAACTCTATAAATTCTAAAATGCCTTTTCCTGTCGTTTTGTTAAAAGTGTATGAACTTATAACTGATGGTATTATTTTTTTTTAATCCTAAATATACCATTTATTTTCTTCAAGTATAATTCAACTTTCTTTTTTATTTATTTATTTATTTTTTATTAGGATTTGGGTGAAGATTTACAGAGTAAATTCACTTTTCATACAGCAGTTCACATATACTTTGTCTCATGTCATTGACCAAAATTTACA